AGTAATTCTTCAATTATCATATCAATCAAAACTTATATATAGCTGCTCTTGAGGGAAATCTGTTTTTCTTTATGTTTCTTTTGGCATCGTTTTTATTTTTATTGTATTCTTTTGCAACAATAAAAGCTAATCTCCGGAGATTTTCACTCAAAAAAAGAAAAAAAAGAATCTTTCCGATAATATAACAATACATTAAGCATACTTTTGATCATGAATACTCAACATAAGACCAACATGCCTAAAGGTTTTCTTGTCCGTACAGGTAAAATAAAGTCAAAACGTCTGTTTAACTGTTATACATAAAAATCTCTCAGATATTTTGTTAAATATTATCGAGATGGACAAATCTATACTGATCGCTAATGATTTATCTTTTGTATTTTTCTCTGTACCGATATAATTTATAATATATATGTGGCAGCAGAGTTTAGAATCTAGTTGAGATTGTAATTGTAGATTATTCTATAAATGTTGTGAGAAAGTGATTCATAGAAATAAAATTTTGCATGTGAGTAATATGAGATAGTTTGATTGAGTATGTAGATTCAAAAAGAAAGTTTTGTTTCCAAGATTAATTGTGTCTATTTTTCCCGATTGACGAGAGAGAAACGACAAAGATTTTCAATAGATGTTTATGTTTTAGTGCTAGAGACATTGAGACATAGGGACATTGACTTTTTTGTTTCTATATTCGAAGAAAAGAAAGCAATTTTCGCTATCGTTATTTCGAAGTACGGGCCTCGGGCAGCTGAGATGGGAATGGAAAGAGTTCTTAATTCGAATGATATGGAAGGAAAATAAAAGTTTTTTTTTTAAATTTTTAATGAAACTAATAAAGAAGTTTCTTATCGGAGTAGTCGCTTTGATGTGTTATTATCTACAATCGTTCTTCGTTAAAAAAATTAATAAGTTAACATAAAAGAAACCATAATTTATGTCTAATCATTGCCTGCTTCGTTAGTGACGAAGATCGAGTATTAAAACTCAAATTAATAGACAAATGATACCAAAAAATTAGATATTAATAAATTCTACTAAATTTGAAAATATAAAACTAGGATAAATAAATATTTATTTGATGATGTAACCTAAATATCATAATCAACGAAGTATTTTATTTCCTTTTAATATTACAATATCAGCTCAACAAGATACATTAATTACTATATGACTCATACAAGTGATATGAGAGCGCATTGAGATGACTGAAAAATAAGAAATAATTTTTTTTTGTTTTGGCCACCAATTTAAAGAAGAAATCTAAATTATGATCAATTAGAAAATACTTTGCTAAATCTAACTCATGGGAAAATTTTTCATATCGTTCATATAACTGTTTTTGAATTTTGATTTTTGAAAATTCTTTTTTTTCCTTTTTTCTTTTTTGTCTATTTTCTCTATCTCTAATTAAATCTACTATTCCAATCTCAACTGAATTCTCATGTCAAGTGTAACATATATATGACAAGGATGCTTCCCTGATGATTTTTTTTTGTCTTCAAATTGTCAGGTCATTTGTTCGCACCCGATATCTATACATAAAAGATATAAATTTGCTTGTCAAAAATGATGAGTTGGAGAACAGCCACTTGTTTTCTATATTTGATGGCAAAAAAGCAATTCGGTGGATTACGAACGAGTAGTTACGGAGAAGAAAAATAAAGAGAAGCCAAGCTATATTATATTATCTTCTTTTCTTTCGTTCTATTTTTTTTGTCAGTGTAATCATACAGAAGAATTTTCCTCTTGAACTCAATTTTTTTTGGCAAAATTCAACCGGTAAATAGTGTGACATTTAACCATAGCCAATCTAAATTTAACATTGAATATTTGTAGTAAAATAAAGAAGTTTTTAACATATGGAAAATCTTGTTCACCATTCGTGTATAAAATGAATAATTATTTCAACTGTTTTTGCACATCCTCTTTTCATTTTATTTATTAATGATACTTTTGTTTTTTCAATTGAAGTTTTATTTTCAGTTCAATTTCTTTTATATGCCAATACATTCTAATAATTGTGAAGTCAACTATTGTATCAAAAATTGTTTAGAGGAATTGTTTTAAACATCCTGGAGCAAATATCGTCACCGTTACCAGAGAACAAGAACATTTTTTACTAGGTAACTATGAGCTATTTTTCTTTTTTTTTGCTAGACTAAGAAAAGAAGAAAGATTTAACAAGAAAATTCTTCATTCATTTATTCGTGACTGAATCATGACATCAGTGTCAAATATTTGATACTTGATAGATTATATTTAAAAAGAAAACTACAGTTTCGATCGTTTTAGTTTACATTCTATATCCCATGGGATTATTCTATAGACTTTATTTATTAAATCATGTATATATAAGTAAATCATCTTTACGATCAACTCTTTTCAATGCTTCATCGACATTTTATTTATCGTACAGATAAAAACAATGTGCTTCGTGTTTTTTCGATAATTCCCTACAAGACTTAGAAGGTTCTAAGGAATGATTGGATGGATGTATGTAAGCGTATGTGCATGTGTCATATTTGACATCGTTTGTTTGCATTTGATCATCGAGCTAAATTCTAACTTGGATGATGCAAACTACTTGTCGTTGGTTGATAAAGAGATAAGTTGAAAGGTTCTATGCTAGTTATTAATAGTCAATTATATTTCTATAAATCTTTGTTTTCTCCCCATATAAAACAAAATCGTAAAAGAAATGATTATGATTGATTTTTATGCGATTAGAAATCTATTTTAATGACACTATTATAATCTGATTTTAACCAGATTTTTCAACCTTAAAAGGCAGATTATTTTTGATTTTGATTTTGGTTTTATTTTAATCAATTTTAATTGATTATCTAAAAACTATTATAATCGATTGCAATAAAATAAAAATAAAAATAAAAATAAAAAATACTCTGCCGCTTAAGGTTGCTGATTAAAATTAGATTAAAATATTGCCATTATAATAGATTTTTAATCTGATTAGTAATCCAATTTTTTTACACGGGGATCTTTATCATTAATGATATATAAGATGTGAATAAACATTTTGTTCGTTATTTTTGCCTTCTTGCTGTTGATTACTTTCTACCAGAATTAAGACTAGGAACTATGGTGGTATTTTTCCAGAAATAGCTTTTGAATAAATTACCAATCATCTATATCTAATGTGAAAAGCAAAATTCATTTCTTTTTTTCTTTTATAACGTGACATGGAGTTAAATTTTGAATAATATTGATCTATGCAGACAAAACGCATTGAATTAGCATACTAAATTTACAAAACATCCGGACTCGTGCAACGAGATCAAAATGAGGACGAACAATAAATAAAATTTTTATGCTTATTTATAGATCGAAATCCTACAAGAAAGTTTCTTTTACCTATAATTGAACATGGAAATGAGTATGTTTTTCTTTTCAAACTACTTTTAGATATACTATTTGAAAATTGGATGATACTTCCGATTACGCATACAAACATACATCTATCATCTACGCATACTATTACTGAGCTAGCTTATATGCAAATATAATGTGTATAAGTTTAAGGAAAACTAAATAGTATAATATATTACGTCGATTGTAATTATATTTTATCAGATCAGCTAGTAAATCGGCTAGTTATGTATTATCTCTCATATGAGTGTAAATGCAATGAGCGTTATAATAAAACGATCCACACACACACACACTCTCTCTCGTAAATGTATGACACAGTTGAAAGCAGAAACTACTAATTGTAGTACTAATGTCCACCCACACTTACTCGGCCTATATCGTTTTTTCTTGTGCCTATCCAAATAACGACGATCGGGCTATGTTTTTCTACAATACGTCTTCATTATTTTTTTCTCACTTGATTGCTTCTTCTTTTCCCTAGCATTTTTCTTTTGGCTCTTATTTATCTGTTCTCTCTTCTTTCTATTTTTTCTTCTTCTTCTTCTTCTTCTTCTTCATGTGTTAGTATTCGAATCTGTTATCCTAGAAAAAAGAGATATAAACGAAATTAACGAGAAAAGAAAAGAGAAATAAATGTCACTCAATTAATCAGTCAATTTTTTTTTACAAATTCATTTTGCAATTTTGAAACGTATGTACGTGTATGTTCGACATTCTATGCGATTATAGATGAGACAAGTCCTTGTAGTCGTCAGAAAGATCTCATGAGGGATCCGCAATAAAAAAACAACAATGAAAAACAAGATAGAGACATAGCAAGCAAACTTTAAGATAGTTAAGTCAAGGCAAGTACACTAGAAGTACTATTTTTTGGGAGTGTATGATTTAGTTTTCGCGTCTTAGGCATACATATGTTATTTGTGATGTCTGTTTTACCATAAAATAGACAACAGACGAATGATTACTATCATCATCTAGCAAATAGATCATTGTCGACACGTGTCAATTGCCCAGCGGCAGAATATCAGCGAATTACGCGCATATAATGATGTAGATGGATGTGCGAGCAAAAGATAAATAATTGAAAAACATACAAACTATTATCATCAGTTTAGTTAGGATTGTTTACATGGGTGAGACAGATCACATTATGCGTTTCCTTTTTGTATATCTGCTTTTTCTAAGCTGCTTATTTCGATTTAGTTAACAACTTTTCATCTAAGCTTTTATATTTCTATGTTGCCAAAACTTGACAGTTTTCCTGTTATCGTTTATGGATAAAACTTGCTTTCTCTACCATCTACTACATGCAAATAAAATAATTAACTAAATTTTCTTTGGCGGCATTGATGAAGGATGTACTTGACAACTTCTTTCTTTTTTACTAATCGGTTTGTTTTTCTAGTTAATAATTGAATAGTCTTCAGTAAGTCAGCTTTCAGTAAAAATGTTCTGGTCTATGCTATTTTTTTCTTCTTCTTTTTTTTTATTGTTTGCTTATACTGTGTAACGAAGTAAACAGTGACGATGACGAGAGCAATGGCTCATCGCTGTATCTTGTCTGATCTGTCTTGCTAAACAAAAATTTTATTGAATTGTGTTTCTAACGTATGAAACAAACTTGTCACTCTAGTTGCCTTGGGCTCTTCACAGAGTTAAACAACAACATATCTCATTTTTTGCGACCAATCGATAGAAAAAAAGAAACAGCAGAAGTAGCAGCAGCAGCAGAGGAAGAAGAAGAAGAAGAGGAAGAAGAAGAAGAAGAAGAAGAAGAAGAAGAAGAGAAATGGAATATACTTATTTGTTTTCGTTCGATTGTACGTTCGTTTACTTTGTCATTTACTCAACTCACTCATTCAGTCACTCGTTTTCTCGATCGATCAATCATTCATTTTATGACGATGAGAAATTTAGTAGGAAATGACACCGAAAACAAATGGTGGGAATTCACTTTATCTGAAAATCGCTTCCGTTGTTTTTAACATTGCCATGACTATTTCTTATTTTCTTTGTTCTCCACTACGATTACTACTCGCATTTCTTTTCATAGTAATACTAACTATGTTGGCTCAGAAATACTTGCATGTGTGAAAGTAATTCTCATTTTTTTTGCTTCCGTGAAGAAGAAAAAACGTAAAGAAAGACGCGCAGAAACTTTCTTTCTTTTTATATTCTTCAGATCTGCCGTGTGCCTCCACGAATTCTAACTTTTCTTTTCTTCAGAAACATCATATTATTATCACTAGCGTTGACAACTTCTTAGCTTTATATATATATATATATATATATGCCGTCGTCATCAATGTGTTTTTCTACAGGCACCGGAGCTGTTTGAGGCGTATATAGTCATAAAACTTATAGTTCGCTTCTTTTTAGATTTATATCATAGTAAGAAATCGAGTGTATATTTCTTTTTGTTTCCTTTATAAAATAAGTTTCTTTCTAAGAAAAACATTGACAACAAAAGAATTGATTATACCTAAGGATTCTTATTATTAGCCTATCATGTTTTTAATCTTATCGAACATGCACGATATTTTCGCATGAATTGCAGGACAAATCAGATCAAAATAAACAATAATCATTATTCAATATGACAGTTAGCATGCGTGACTATATCTAATAATAGAAATAAGTAATAGCGTACAGGAAGGATAATTGAGAGCTTGTCATACTCGAAATTAAAGTAGTGAATGATACGTAAGATGCTTATTTTCTACTGTAATACTATCACAGTAAGAAACGTACTTTACTATCAGAAAAAAAAACTTTTGAAATCCGATTTGTTGTTTAACAAAATGCTATCGTGTGAACTTTTTCATTTTGATATAGGATTTAATATTGTTGGTTCATTTTACTTCATGAGATAGATAATCATAATAGACTGATTGAACTAATCCATGAAAGTACAAAGTTTATTATGATTGTAAAAATTTTTACTTAAGCAAAATTCTTTGATTTTATTTTTAGTTAATGATAATGGATATTTAACTACAATGAGTACAGAAACAAATAATCTCGATGTTGTTGAGTTAAATGTAGGTGGTGTTACATATGCAACAACATTAGGAACATTACAGCAGGCTGAACCAGAATCACCACTAGCTATTATATCAACATTGAACACAGCTGAAATACGAACGATCTTCGGACGTGATAGCAAAAATCGTATTTTTATCGATCGAGATGGTGTTCTCTTTCGTTATGTACTTGATTATTTACGGAATAAAAAATTATCTTTACCAGAAAATTTTGCTGAACGCGAACGCCTTCGAACAGAAGCTGAATATTATCGACTCGATAGTATGAGTCGAACATTAGCACAAAGTCGTCCAAATTCCAGTTCAAATGGAAAATATTCAAATGAAAATATGATGAATGTAACAGCAGGTGCAACGTCAAGTATGCATCAAATAACACCTAGTATCGGTTTAAATCCTGGTCCTCGTTCTAATAGTGGATATATTGTTGTTGGATATCGTGGTACTTTTGGTAAGTTGAATTTAAAAAAACAAACAAACACTTGATTCAATTTTCTATATGTCAAATTTTTTTCTATAGCTTTCGGTCGTGATGGGTTAGCCGATGTCAAATTTCGAAAAATATCTCGTATACTTGTTTGTGGTCGTGTACATCTTTGTCGTGAAGTATTTGGCGAGACATTGAATGAGTCTCGAGATCCTGATCATGGTCAAACAGATCGATATACATCGCGGTTTTTTCTTAAACATACTTTTCTTGAACAAGCTTTTGATATGCTAGGTGAAGCGTCATTTTTAATGGTTAGTCAATAAAAAAACAATGTTTCTTTTTTAACTAGAATAATATATTATTATTGACATTTTTTCTTTAGGTTGGTTGTGCTGCAAGTGGATGTAGTAGTTCAACTAGCGAAATGGGCAAACAAACTGACAGTGAAGAGAATCGTTGGTTGCATTATAATGAATTCATCTTTTATCGCAGCTGATTATCTGTATTTTATTTCTTTTTCTTTGTTGTTCATTCTTTTCTTTTGCGACGCTCCCTTTTCTCTTTTTATCTAGCAGACTTTATATAAATACTAGATATGCAATTTATATTTTCCTTTTATGCTCGTGTATCTTCATCTTTCTGTAGTCAACAAAAAAGAAAAAAATCAGAAAAATTTGTGCTATCTTTTAAATGCGTAAGAATTAATCTTGAATATCAATATTAATGAGTGTTTCAAGTTTTTAAAAGAATGTATTGTTTTTGCGATTTGCAAGAAATAATCTTATAGATATGCAAATGATTATTATTCACCATCCATGATTAAAATAATAATAAAAAAAAGACAAAAAGCACAATAGAATAGCATTATGCATGTTTTTTTCTTCCCCTTTTGTTTTCTTCTCCATTGTCGTTTTGTTGCTCTTTGAGTTGTTTGGTACGCCACGCTTTATCAGTACCATGAAGTCGATCTAGGATACCCAACAATCCAAAATTATTTGTAAATTGTGCATGATGAAAATCATGGAATGTCGGATTAGCCAGACCATTTCCTAATATTCCGGGTAGCTTGTATCCAGAATGATGATTGATGGTACCCAAAAGTGCAAACAAAAGCCAAAGCCATGTGGTTAACAAATGTGATCGAAATATTAATGGGCCAATAACAACAGGACCAATATTGGATACAAGAAACTCAATAGGATGCGCATATTCACATGCCATACCAATTGGCGCTCGAAATTGATGATGCTGTTTATGTATATATTCATATAGAAATGACACATGCTATCAAATAGAAATATTTTGTTAAGCATACAAAGACTGTCAATTTTTCGAAAAAAAAAAAAGTTGTTTTTACAAGCAAACGATGACTATAAAAGAAGAAGATCTCCGTTACACCAATAAAACTAACGAGTTCAAATGCAATTCGATGCCTAGAAGACAAATAAGATAATACATCAAATAAATCAGTTGATTATTTTTCAATAAATACACTATACCATGGAGGAAATGGTAGGTGCCATCGTAAACCCAAATGCATAAATAATGGACAAATGAATATAAGAAAAGGAAACAAAAGGAATAGTTGATTGATAAATACTGATCTTGCGCATTGTTTAATTAATTTTGCTTCTACATGAATGTTCTATTGAATGAAGAAAACAAAACGCGACTCTAACGTTGATGAATTTATTCAAACAAAACAAAAGCAACCTTTTGAATTTTATATTTCATTGAACGTGTTGGAAAAAGTACATACGTTAAAAGTAATATAATACCATTAGTTAGCCAGAAAATCAATTGATGAAGTACAAATGTACCAATAATAATTAAAATTGGATCGGAAATATACATCGTTTTATGTTGCGTATGTTTAACTAGCCTGCTTTATATTCTTATCTTCTTTCTTTTGTCTCTAACTCCGAATGGCGTTTGTTTATTATTATATTTATGTGCAAGAATATAAAAACAAAAAAATGTTTAGGTAAGATACATAGAAAAAAAAACTGAATAGCCATGGTGTTTGTTTTTCACGATGTGAAATGAGAATTCTGTTGTGAAGATGATGGGCTTTCACCTGCTGTATCTTTGCCTGTGCCACTTGATGGTTCAGATGATGGTGGAGTCGTCGAAGATTTTAGTGTTGAAACTAATTCAATAATAGAAAGAAAAATAATTAAGAAAAATGCTAGAATTAAAAATAAAAACCTGAATCATTCCATTCGATAATATCTAATTTTTGTTTATTAGGATAAGGTGAAGGACCAATGAGTTGAACAATATCATCATAGTTAAGTGTTTCACGTGCCAATAATTGTTCTGCTAACTAAAAGAGAAATAATATTTTTGATAAATAACAGCTTACAAAATGAATAATAGTCACGTACGATATTAAGTTTTGCTCGATTTTCGGTCATTAATTTCTCTGTGCGTTTAAAGGCATTAGCAAGACGTTGTTGTGCTTCCTAAAAATGTACATAATAAAAATTATAAACTAATATTTAATCTGTCAATCATGAAAAATTCTATTAAGTTATTACCATAGTGAGCATTTGCACAATCGCAGAACGAAAAACAAACCTGATCGTATCGATATCTGGTGTGAAATTAATTAACTCAATAATATTTTTTGTTTCCAACTCATTAATATTTACGTCAAAATATAATTATACTCTTTAATCTTGTATGACAAAAGTAGAGTATCAATTTTAATAGACTACGATCTCGAATTAGTACAACTCGAAAATATTTACTTTAGAAATTGAATTATAAATCTAACTTGACCGGATTTTTTCAATCAACTATTAAAATATATACATATTAACAAGTTTCTCTATGTGCATATTGAATCAGATATATAATACATATGTACTTTTACGGATCATTACCTCATCCATCATGCGTTGTAATCGTTTACTATATGGCTTAACTCCAAAATCATCATTTTGTGGATTTTGTTGATCAGCAGGAAAAGAAATTAAGCCAATGGTTTTACTCATACCATATTGTTTTATTTGAGCATACGCTAATTTCGTAGCTCTTCTTAAATCATCTTGAGCACTAGAAAGTAAAACAATTAATATTTCTTATTTATTTTATATTAATCTATAACAGAATATTAACCCTGTCGATACTGTATTAAATACAACTTGTTCAGCGACTCGTCCGCCTAACATTACACATAAATCTTCATCGAACTAAAATAAGCAAAAAAGCAAAAAACGAATTTTTGAATATTGTCTTTTGTTTCTGAACTATTTTATTTATACGTCATCTTCGTGCAATAATTTTCTATCTTTCGGCATATATTGTGCAAAGCCAAGGGCTGGTCCAGTTCTTGGTACAATCGTCACTTTTAATGGCAAGCATGTTGTCTTTAAGAACCAACCAGCGATAACATGGCCACTTTCGTGAAAAGCGACTGTACGTTTTTCTGCTGGTGCCATTGTATTGTCTCTTTTAGCTGCACCGGCAAGTACACGTTCAACAGCTATTTCAAAGTCAGTTCGATCAATCACTTTTTTCCCTTCACGTGCAGCATATAATGCAGCTTCATTACATATATTCGCTAAATCAGCTCCTAGAGTTTAAATAAATAAATAAATAAATACATATTAATTTTATTTTACAAATTCTTTTTTTTCAATCATACCGCTCATTCCAGGTGTTAATTGTGCTAAACGTCCTGAATAGAATTTAATATCTTTTTCTAGTTTAAGCTTTTTTAAATAAACATCTAAGATTTCCACACGTTCAGGTAATGTTGGATAGTCGATGAGTATATGTCGATCGAAACGGCCCGGGCGAAGTAATGCCTAAAAATTGATTAAAACTAATATTTATGGAAACAAAAAAATGATTTCAAAGTACTTTATCAAGAACATCTGGCCGATTGGTTGATGCAAGCATAATTACATTTGTTTTTGATTCAAGACCATCCATCTCAACTAACACTGAAGCAAAAACAGATTCAAAATAGTATAGAATTGAAATAGTATTTCGAATATATTACATTGATTTAATGTATGCTCTTCTTCACTACTAGTCATATAACTTGATTTATTTCTAGAATTGAAAAAAAACGCGAATTGAAAACCTTTCAGTCTGTTTAAATAATGATTTTGTTTTTCGTACTCGCCACGTCGTTTTTTGCCAATTGCATCAATTTCATCGATGTAAATAATACATGGAGATCGTTTATGAGCTTCTCGAAATAAATCTCGAACACGAGCAGCACCAAGACCTGAACGAATAGAATTTAAAAAAAAGAAAATTTTCTTTTCTAATTTCACTTACCGCCAATGACTTCAACAAATTCTGATCCGGCCATGTAAAGAAACGGCACACCAGCTTCAGCAGCAACTGCTTTAGCTAGTAATGTCTTACCAATACCTGGTGGACCGAGAAGTAAAGCACCCTTAGGAACTTTTGCTCCTAAATCCTAAAACAAATTGTCTTCAAGTGACTTTCTTGTTCAAAACAAAAAGAAGAATGTTTTCATACAACAAATTTTTGTGGTGATTTCATATATTCAACAAATTCCATAACTTCTTGTTTAGCTTCTCGCATACCAGCAACATCGCGAAATGTGATTTTGGGTATAGTTACTTTTATATGCGGATCAACCATAGTAAATTTTGCTTTCGTCTATAATTAAAAGAGCTAGAATAGTTTCTATTTGATAAATATAAACATACCATCATGTCCATTGGATTGGCAAAACTCATTTTAACACGAGATTTGAGAAAAGCAAAGATGAGTACAAGAGTTGAAAGAAAAAATATAACCATTGGCCATTGGCTAAGAAGACAAACATATGCAAATATTTCGTTTAATGATTCTTTTCACTGTGAGCATTTTGTTTTTACAGCACCTAATTTACTTAACCAAAATAACCCAATTTTCTCATCTAGTTGATTAAATCTCATAAGTACTGTTGTGTCGAAAATTCGTGAGTAAGAATATACTTCTGTTTTATATGAATCATTTTCTTAGCGATTTCTGTACGTAGGCATGAAGGAAACAATTACATCAAATTAAATAATGAATATTTCCGCAAAATTTCCCGATGATATATTAATACTTATGAAGATAGATGCACTTTCAGCCTCGAAATAGAAACACGATAACTAATTTGTTGAAACTACCATTGAAGTTTATAGAATAATATTCTATCAGTTTAAGTAGATAATGTAATATATTATATAAAATAGAACTCAGTAACCCACTAAAGAAATCGAAAAGCGATAATGATGTGAAGAAAACAAAAAATGCTCACAATGAAGATGTATTCATATTTACAAACCTATTTCGTGTATAACTGACTAGTATTCGACTTGTTGGATCAATATTTAGATCTGCTTCAACTTTTCGTAGTTTTTCTTCAAATTTATCAACATTACTTATTTTCATAACAAATGTATCTCGATCGAAAAGCTAAAATAAAACAGTTCATTTTTCGTAGAAAAAAGAGCAAATTAAAGAATATTATTATTTTACTTTTCGTCCTTTTACAACAGGTTGTGGATGTAGTTTTACATAAGCAAGTTCTTCTTCGATATGAATAACAACTTCTTCGACCTAAGTTTTGTTGAAAAAACAAGATTTCCTTTTTTTTGTCAATAAACGCATATAACTAACCTCTCCTTTCGATAGCATATCTTGAACAAATTCATTCCAGGATATATAACCTTGACTGAGACCATTCGCTCCATTTTGTTTATCTCGGCTTGAAGTAAAAAAGGTTAAGATCATAGATACGAGAAAAATGGTAAGTATTATTCGCGGATTTATTGGAGGAGGACCTGTTGGTGGTTGTTGCTCTTTATTTGGATCATCATCTTCAAAGAAAACGTTTTCCAAATTATTTAGACAAATAAGTATATATATATTTTTTTTTTTACTATTTGTCGATGAACTTTCATTATCAGATAAAGTGTTTTTTCCAACTCCAGGTTCGGGTGGAAAATTACGCGGATCACTTTTTATTGATGACATCACTATATTGAATAGAACGATGCGTTTACAGTCTTGTTTAGAAAATGGTTTACTTAGAAATTCTTTCTGTGTCATTGAGAATGAACGTAGAATACTGTTGAACCATTTTTGAAATGGCTATAAAAAAAAAGAATAAGAAGAATACATTGAATTTAATATGTTGAATCGCATACTCTATTATTTTCTATTAAGTTTTTTATTAATCTTGAAGTTGGTTGAATATTAGAAGTATTTAATTGAAGAATAGGCTACAATATAAAAATATTTACATTAGATCAAAATTTTTTCGCAAAAATCAAAACTTATTAGACTAGTCTTATTTTGGCCACAATTTATTTACATCGATTGATGAAGGTTTAGAGTATCTGAAAACATATTCTAATCTTTAAATGATAATGGTGAATAAGACCATTTTTTCTTTTTGTTCACCTTCTTTTGTTACAATCAAGTTAAATGTAATTTTGCGAGGCTCTTATGAAATCGTTCTCTATCAAATCTTCAATGGGCGTTCTTACTCATTATCGCAATTTTCAGAATATTATCAGGATCTTTCTCTGATTGGATTTTAACACAAAAAAATACGACTTTATCTGCATTTATAGTTTGACTGTCCGTGCTATTCATGATTGATTTCTAAAAACAAAATTCCGATTGATTCTACGACAAGTCTGAATGATCTAAATAGCTTGAGAACTGTAATGAACGATTTTTATTGTCTTATTGAAGTTTTAAAAATGCAAGAAAATCTACTCCCAAATCTGATATATTGTTAAATATAGAATGCCTGTTTTTCTCTTATGAAACTGGGCTTCGCGTTTGCTCGATTTGAAACATTTTATTAAACACAGCAAACGTATTTCTTTAGCAATAAATTATTTACTTGTTGTTGTTGATGCTGACATGCTGCAGACGTAGTATATAATAATGAATGATCAATAATATGTGATAAACGTTTCAATTGAAACTGTTTAATACAATTCAGACGTGATGACAGATTCATTATACTCAAATATCTAGAGAGAATGATGTTTTATATCTCGATTTCTATATTCTTTCTATATATTGTTGTTGTTTAGAATTTTATTTTATTTTTTATGTCTCTTCTTATTTGTATTAAAACAGAAAACAAACAAAAGCGGATGATGTTTAACAATGCTTTTGTATGATGATGACAACAGCATTGCTTTAAAATCGTAATTTTTGGAAGAACCATTTGTGTTTGCCTGTTTTGTATCTACAACAAACGAGAAATAAAAATAAGTTGAAAAAAAAATAATATCATTTTATTTCTTTACCGTTCTTCGAATTTATCTTTTACATCACGAAGAGCTTTTCGTCGAAGACCAGCATCCCGGAATACTTCCTTATTGATTAAACTTTTTTCAAAGTTAATATCAACGGTGTATCTATAAAAATCGACTTTTTAATCGTATTACTATTGTCAAAACAAAAATCTATTTACCGAGTAGCCATCAAGTGATTATAGTTAACAACTTTAACAAAGGTTTTAATTTTATTACGACGTGCTTGTTTCTTTTTTCCCATTTTCTTTGTTACTTTACGTGGATAGCGGCCAATACCAGCAATAAGTGCATGGCCGTAACCTCGTTCGTTACTACCTTCATCGTATGGCTAGAAAATAAAGTATGTTTGCAAGAAACTATATGAGATTAAAAAATATCATACTTTAATAACCACAGCCTTACGTCCGGCATATCGGCCGGCTAAGACTATGACTACTTTTTGGGTTTTCATGATTTTCACCATGATTGATGTTATTAACGGAAAATCTGAAAAGAAAAGAGTTGCTCAAAAAGGCTGGAACGTCCAAAAAAATAACAATAATAACAAGTAACTTTGGATGATGAAAAGTTATATCATTTGATTGGTTGAGATTTTTGGCGTGTGAGCCTCTGCAAACTGTAGATGGATGGAGAATCTCGATCGGATACTTAATTGTACAAGTGACTAACCAATCGGTAATTAAGCTGAAATAAATAAATAAGTACAGTATACTTTTCGTAGTTATTATTTGTAAATAAATACGCTGCCTCCTTGATTTCCTATTATCAACTATCTATATGAAATCGAATGTAACTTCCGATAGATAGCGTCCATTGTCAGACTTAATATTAAAATATACATCCCGTGTCTACTTTTGAAATGCTTTTGCTATAGATTAATAATAATTATTCAATATGAAAAATGAATAAGCTATGAATATATAATTATAATTGAAATCTCTAAATACTAAGATCAATAATCCCACCGAAACTTCTGCAAAAGCCATAAGACGTGAAAAAACAAATTCTTGAAATTAATGAAACGTGTAATCAATATTATAGGCTAAGATACCACTTGATTTTGTTTCCGGTTATCCCTAGTCATTTCCGACCGAAATTCACAGAAATTTGATTGAAAATCACAGGAGAAATCCGCAAACTTTCCGTTCGAAACCAGTCAGTGTTCAGTCAACTGATTAACATAAAAGTAACGTATCAAGGGATTTTGTTAGCTTTTATAGAAATCTTTGTTATCATCATCTTCAGTGATGGAATATGTCGAAAGATTTATGACTTTCTTATAAGAGAAAAGTACGATGACAATAAAGGCAATCTCATTTTTATAGACTTTCACTCTTGTGTTGATCAAGAATTGTATTGAGCAGCTTGGAAATTTGGTTATAGATCGGCAAGACACAATTTTTATGAAAAACATATTCAAACTCCAAAGTGTAACTAATAAAGTCAGATTGAAATTTACAGTAACATGTCGATAAAACGTAACTGGATGAATTAAAATTTTTGCTACTTGCACTGTTGGTTAAATCATGAAATGAAGGTTTTAGAGTACTTTTAAAAATCGAACATTCATTTTTCGAACTGGAATTGGTGTATCGAGTTGCAAAGGTTTAAATGCATCCTACTGACATCTGCTCTAGACTTTTCTAGCATTCGCTAACGTATCGGTTGAATATCAAGCGAGCCCGAAGCCTTGGAAGTTTCACCAGAATAATACTGCTGTATTAAATACTAATTAAGCTATATTAATTCCTATCTGTTTATCACTTGTTGATAAGTAATTTCCAATAATTGATGCATATCTTTAATGACGTTTTATGATAATATTGACAATCCAAGTTGTATCATAGTAATGAGTATGCAAAATGATTAGTTCCGGAAAAGTAAAAGCCAAAGATACTACAGTAGACTATGAATACATGCATAAGATGAAATGAAAATTTAGAAAAATCTTGTTTTTACTATTAGTCATGATAGAAGGTCTGTAGTATTTTTTTCCAATTTTAATCGTATTCTACGGATTCAAATCCATATTTTTTATAAAATTATTATTTAAAGCTTATCCTGGATCTGTTGAATTATGGTTGATTTCCAAATATCTTGATATTGATATGTCTATTTCTCGGCACTCAAATGTCTGAAAACTAATCACAACTACTTGTGTTTGATAGACAGAATTCTCCATTATGAATAGATAACTTCGCATAATTCCAATAATTAGTTTGTAGGCATACATTTCTGATTCAGTCGATACGTTAACATCGAAAGAATTAAAGGCTTCTATTCATTTCGATTTGTAAATCTTTGAAAATTACCCCATAAATGATTGATAAGATTATAATTTTCTATATACTACTAAACTAGTTGATTTCTCTGTATTCTAGTGTAGGTATTTTTATTTTTATTTTAAAGAAATATTTCCGTCTCAAAATTGTTTGTCTGGACACAGCAGATTTAAAAAGATATTAATGCTAGAATAGTTTATAGAAATGCTATTTAAAAACACGTGAGAATTAATTCTACAGAAAAATAACTTGTAATATCAATTGATGAAGTACAATTTAGATGATAGTACATCGGCTAGAGCGAAAGTTGATTTAAAAGATAAAAATAGTGCAAAAAAGTTCCTACAATGAGACATTTTCCTTTTTAATCTTGCAAAAAAATACATGAAAAAACGTATGGCAAGATTTATCGATCTAGAATCTAGGTAAAAATGTGACTTAATTGATAGAATAAATAGTAACTTCATTTTGACTGAAGATAATTCATCTTAATAAACAAATTGGCATTAGTGAGCAGAATAAAACATGAACATATCATGAAATAATATAGATTTTATGTTCCTACCAGACTTGGCAGATGTTCGCATGTCTGATAATTGTCTGTTATCTAAAGCTGCAAAAGATTTTCTTCATACCCATCAGCTATATAATTGATAATATCTGCTAAGAAAGTACTACAACAACAATCGCTTCTTATAGATCGTACGAACAAACACTATAAAGAATCCTACAGCTTGGCTAAGACAAATATTTGATGTCATGCAATTTTTGTAAAGCTTTGAATTGTTAAACTAAAATCATGGAGACAATTTTATGCTTATTGCTCTTCTTTTGTTTTAGATGTAAAATTAATGTCGACTATCTTTGGAAGATACTGGAAAGCGCTTGCTATTGCAAGTGTATCAATCACATCGTCTTATTTTCTGTCCAACAGTGATTATTCTCAGAAAAAGAATTCTTTATTATCTGTATTCAAAATTCAAGCAGCAGAATATGTAAGTCAAATTTGGTTCGTCACTAAGTTAATTACGTTTTTTCATGTGTCAAGGAACGACGGAATGCTGGTAAATCCTTATCAAAAACTTGGCAACTCGAACGAAGAAAAAATATTGACGACGAAGATGAAGATGAAAATGAGAAAGATAATTTAAGTCGAACAGAAAAGAAGATCAAAAATATTCGTGAAAAACGTTTTCATGATTTTGCTTCGATTGAATATGATGAAGAAATATTTATGGTAATTTCTTTTTTAAACTTACATTTATTTTTATCGAAAACTTTGATGATAGACACCAGTCGATTTTCTTGAATCCGTTATTGCAGAACGCCCTAGACGTACGAAAGAAAAAATTCTTGTTCTATGTGAATCTAATTTATTTTTCTATTAGCTCGTATTGGTCGCCGACAACTGACAGACTCTATGGTTGATTCTATTTTGTACAATACACCACCAAAACATCGAGGATCTAATCGATTTTTTCGAGATCTTGAAGATACTGGTAAAATTAAGAATATGAGTGTTTTCTTTTCACTTTCGCGTAATGAATAGGCCTAATATCATACGCAGAATATTTATTTCTTTGGGTGATTTTAACAAGTAAGACATGAAATTTTCGTATCAAGAATATTCATTTATTAATTATTTTAGAACCTTCCACACAATTTGGAATAGCATTTGCTTTGTTTGATATTGATGGTAGGACTTCAAAATGATTATAATAGTCATTGTGAAAACGTAACAAAGATCTAACTAATTGTTCAAAAGAATATATCATAGAGTGCAAGTTTTACTTTTCTCTTTTTGGATCTCTAAAAATTCTGGTTTATTATCCAAACATATTCTATGAAACACATGTTGCTAGTTTTAGGTCTTTCTTTAGAAAAAAAGAGTATGCAGATCAAATAGTGCATTACAAACATATTTCTTTGGCAATTTTGATTCCAGAAGAAATATTTTATTCATCTATTGCACACAGTAGTGTCTACAAAAACGTTAGACCATATAAACGGATAAAAATCATTTCTGACCTAGCGGAACAAAAAGAAACATTTACAAAATTCTATATAATTATAAATGAATATACGATGATTTTATACGATCTAATCGCTGTTATGTGCTCCTTTTAAAAAATCTTTTCGTTAATAAAAATAAAAAATGAATAAATGAGTTAAGTGCAAATTTGAAATGACTTGATTTTATATATATAGGTAATCAATTGGTGGATAAGCATGAATTTCTTGTAGTAAGTTTCCAAAAAATTGATTCTCAAGGTATAAAACTATTCTTTTTATTTTCAGTTTGGAAGAGTAATGAGTGATAAACGCATGATACGTCGACAATCAAAAAAACATTCTACACGAAATTCGAATACGACTTCAACTAAAACTAATTCTTTTCATGTAAGTGCAGCACATGTCTCTTACTTTTCTTATCATTTTTTATGGTTAATCTTAGAGGAAAAAGATTCTTCTTTTTTTGCATTAAAGCTGCTCATATATTTAAATGATTTATTCAATTAAGGAACATAATCCGAAAAAATTCCAATAAATAATCGACTCATAAAAAGGATTTAGTATCGTACGTATTCATGCAATAGGAAATGAGAGCCTCTACATTTAACGTTTGAGAATAAGTTGATATTATGCTTAATAATCAATTTATATTCTTAATCTATAGTTTTGATATGTATGAAACAAGCCGATATTTTTATTTTCTAGTTTGATGATATTGAGCAAACAGATACAACATTACTTGTACATTTTTTTGGTAAAAACGGTCGCGATACATTGAATTATACAGAATTCAAACGGTACATATAAATTGACACAGAGTAAATTTTATCTTGTTGGTGATATAGTTTTATGGAAAACCTTCAAACGGAAGTACTTGAAATTGAATTTCATCAATATTCACATGGTTTCAAAACAATATCTGATTTGAGCTTTGCTGAAATGCTTTTATGTCACACAAATTTCGATCATGATACCAAAAAATTCATATTAAAAAAAGTTAAAACATACAGTGATCAACGAAATGTATGATGCACTAAAAAGTTGTTGAACAATTAATCGAATTGAATTTCTATTGACATAGGAAATTACATTTGAACAATTTAAACATTTCTTTGCATTTCTTACAAACCTCGAAGAATTTGGTATTGCTATGCGTTTTCATCAATTATCAAATAAACCAATATCACAAGGTAAACGTTTCTCTCAATACAAATACAATCAAATCTTGTTCTTTTTAATTAGCTGAATTTCAACGGGCTGTTAAAATTTCAATGGGTTTTGAACTTGAATCTCATCTGATCGCTCTTATCTTTCGCATCTTTGATAGTGATAATGATCAACATTTGTAAATCATTTTAATTTTTGAAAAATTTTTGATGACTGACATCAAGCTCTTGTTTTTTTATAGAAGCTATGACGAATTTATGACAGTGATGAAAGATCGACTTTCTCGTAATTTTCAAGTTAGTTAATTAGTGGTCTCTTGTTACGGCTGAATTTATGTTTTTTTTCTCTATAGGCAAATGATTATAGAGAATTACCGGCTTCGAAATTTGATCAATTTAAACACTGTGTTCGTGAACGAGCTAAACATGAATCTATATTTGCGTTGAATTAAATGCTATTGGAGAATGAGTGGTTTGCACGTAGCTGTCTCCTTGCACCGTTGATGGTAATTAATCTGATAGTTTTCTAAATTTTTTAATTAATAAAGAATCCCACTATTCTACATTCCCTGCTTGATGTTGTGCAAATATGCCTAAAATAATGTGATGAACAAAGACGCTTCGGCTTGTGAAAAAAAGAGCTTAATAAGCTTAGATTTTTCTTTGTATGTGAATGAATCGCAGCTTGTTGGTATAGTTGGTGCGAAAAACTGGGAATCGATCTGAATAATTTCTGAAGAGTGAATTCAATGACACACCATGCCTATGTTACACGGTAAAATATATCCAATACTGATCTTCATATTAGCTGAGATACGATCTACTTCAATGCAAATTTACTAAAATAAACACTCAGTTAGTGAAAAGTGTGTCTTTATATTGTATCATATTATTTAAATTTCTTCATAACATAGAGAGATACAAAGATGTAATTTTAGTCAGCAACACAACTAAGAAATGTAATTTCAGTAAAAATTCGATTGAAAACGTATGCGTGTGTCAGGAATCTTTTGCTACGTAATTTTCAAACGGGTTCTTCTGCATTTTATCGTAAAGCGTAAATTTCTCTACAAAGATAAGCGATAGAGGGCTTCATTTTTTTAACCAGCTATCTAGTTCATTGAGATTCATCGACATTAAAACTGAACGAAAGCAACCAATCCATTCTGAAATTATTTATGTAGTCGCTTTCACAAATTCGTTCTACAACATTAGTCGAATCGGAATATTTGGGGAATACTCGATTTTTTCAACTAAAAGGAAAGATATCGCGAAAGATTCTGTTATTACTTTGCTGGCATTTCAACTCTCTTCATTTCATGTACATTTTTTTCTCCGTATATTTTTACATAGACATCGTAAATAACAAAGCAAGGTCGTTCTATACAATAATGACGAGGTTTTGCTAACTACATAAGTATTGGAAGTAAATGAGAATGAAAAAAAACAAGAGAAAAATATATAACAGACATATAATTAGATAGAGTTATTGAGGTGATACAAAACGGACTACTCATTATATCTTTCTCTTTTTTTATACTTAGAAAATATATTTCTCCTAGCACAGCTCTATCTAAACCATGTTGTTCTAGTGTAAGATCTGTGAGTCTCTAACAGCTCGAACTAGAGCGCTGCAACTAAATTTATCAGTAGGTCGCTCACAGTGAAGTACTCTGAGAAAAACTGTTCACATCGATCAATGAGAACAAAGAGTATTGCTAAAATGTAGGTAAAATCACAATCGTTCTAATAACTTGGAATTGACCCATAGATATAGTATTTGAAGACGAAACATCAATTGATGAAAACTTGGACAGATGGTTATGTAATTAGTAAAAAGTGAGATGATAATTGACAAGCAAGAAGATTTATTTCTCGAAAAACTTTAAAAAAGCGGTACACACTGAAAAATGACAAATATCGAGAAAAATGATCTCGTTTAATCGATATTCAGCTGGTTAAATATTTCAACATCGTAATCCAGTCTAAAAACATATGTGGGGATTTGCCGCCCACAACACAAATGTTCTTTACTCATTTCAGACTAATTGTTCTGGCCAGAGGTATCCACAGGGCAGGGCTATACCTTCATGTCCTGCAAATTTTGCATATACTTACTTCAGTTCGAAAATAACAACAATTTTATTTTTCTCGAAATCGTGAAAAAAACTAAAAAACCCAGATGGCGTTATTAAATAGTAAATAGATTGTTGTATTTGTGTTTGTATGATGACCGTGAGGTCTTATCACAGTCGTAAGAGAAGTAAAGAAAATAATAAAGGAATCATTGTAGTGCATATAGATTAGTCTTAATTCGTTCCCTTTTTAATTGAACCGAACTGGTCTCCAAAAACTCGATTCCGAATTCGCCCCCATCGTAAATGTTTTTTGCTTAATTGACTCAGGATTCGTCCCCACTCTATTTAACATTGAAATGTTTATCCTTCGCTCTGTCTGTATAGGCAGCTAGGGACAATGACAATCGGATTCATTTCTTCTTGTATGGGTGTGAGTGTGGCTGATATTTAGGTATGAAGCTATTCACCAACACCCACACCCTCACTGATGAATTCGTTTGTGAACACATTGAAAATAGCTATTAATTCCTGTGGCTCGTTTTCAAGTTTACGGTGTACAGTCATCACAAACTAAATGTAAAATATAAACTATGATGTTCTAGCCAAAACAGAAAACAGAAATGATTCTTATAATAGGTTGTTTAAATAAATATTATTTATTGGGCAAGAGTTATTTTTTCAATAACAGAGAAAACATAAATCCCATGATTAAGGAGACATTGATGTTAACTGCATGTATTGCAAAATTGTAAGGTGGAGCGATGACTAGCATTCCATCTATTTTATTACAATTCGTATCTAAACATTGTTCCATTTGTTTTACGTAAAATGTTCCATTTTCTGTTTTAATTTTCAACTTTCCTTGCTGAACTGACTGAACAAGATGGCCAATTGTTTGATTCAAATAATATTTTGCATTATTTGTAATTGAGGTATTATGCATATGATTAAGAGCGATTTTTATCAGCTATAAGTATTTTCATATTTATTTGCTGTTCGTGTGCTTTTGATTTTAAAATCCACGTATTGAAAGAATATGAAAAATATCCTAATCGTTCAGAAGCCCATACTTCAATTCGAGCAATATCTTTGGCTATATCATCGACATAACTAATCATATTACTCACGGTTGCTGGTACAACTATTGGGCCCAAAAACGTTATCATCATTATGCTTACGGGCATTATCTCTCCAATTGGTTTTGAGATACACGTGTCTAATGTATCAAGTGCACCTTTTAGACTTTGCAAAGGCTCGGTATAAAATGCAGAATGAATCGTCTGAAGTACTCGCCACCAGTCTGTCACGGTTAAATCACAAAAAGATGGTGCGTCGAGAGAAGGAACTCCATAAAATAACGCATGAGATGCAAATCCTTCATCCTTAATTTTATCACACGTGATATTAGCCGAGGATTGACTAAACACTGGGATCAGCTTTATTTATAAACATTTTCAAACAGCACCACCCACTCGCGACCAGTTTCGCTAAATCTATTGTCATTTTCGGTATATTTGTTACAATACTTCGTTGCATATTTCATAGCGTAATCAGCTTGTTCATCCTGGCACGGATATTTCTTCTCTAAGCAATCTTTATACCATTCACAACTAGTACCATCGGGGTTGTAACATTCTGGTGAAAGTGTAGACAGTGGTGGATTTGTAGGCAGTCGAAGTGTTGGAAGTAGTATATTCGTAGTATTACCAACGTTAGGAGGGCAACAAAAGTTAGTACAACAATAATGACAAGCAAAATTTAAATGACAGACCGAAGAGTAAGTGCAATATGGAAAAGTAGGATCACATCCACGACGACCACCACAATGGCAAGGTTGTGTTTGTCCAAGTGTAGCCTTCATTGTTGAAAATAATCCCGGAATCGCGATTATCTTAGCGCTGTTCATCTTTCGTTGCTTGCGAGAGTGTGATAGCTTCGAGAAATAACTACGAAATATGATTTTGCATGATATTTTACCTGCTTAAATAGCACTCGATAGGACAGTACAGAAACCATGGAAAAAAATCTAATCGCACTCATCTCTATTTTTACACCACTTGACAGAAGTCTTTCTTCCTCTTGATTTCTTTGCTATCATAGTCTGCATCAAATTTACTCTCAAGTAGTAAAATAAGAGGAGAGTTTTTATGTTGATAAGATCAAAACATCATACTACGAATAACCTCTTAAGTGATTTCTTAACTGAATAACAAATGTTATGCAGATTAAGATGGAAGAATAATTATAGTGATTCATGGGCAAAAAATTGAGTTATATGAAAATTTTTATCTTACAGCAGCATCGACGGACCACCAGCAGGAAAAAGTGTGGCAGTGATCCCACCAAAAATAGTCGGAATCATCGATAATTTGACAAAATTGATCATGAAAACGATTTTTTCCAGCAATTACCATAGCACAAATTATTATTATCACACCAAATATTTTGCTGCTGGTCTGTTGCTGCACAGCAGCTTAAATGGATAATAAAGACACAATGCTTTTAGTTTTTCGTCAGCTTACGACGTTTCGATAAATGTGTTATCGTTTTCAAGTAAAGATACAAAGCAGGTACTCGTGTAACAGAACAAAATAGAACGTATGGTGGTAACGTACAGAATATTATAGAAATGAAGCAAGTTATTAGTAATTATGGGATGAATTATTGAATTCGAAAACTTTATAGGAGAAATTAGGGTGTGAGTGTAGTTCTTTTTCTCTGATACACATAGTCTTATACCCCACACCCACACCCTGTATTCTACAGAGTATTTTTTTTTCTATGTTGCTAACTGTTCCTAGAGAACTTGGAATTGATTTCACATGTGTTCAGAGAAAAAGATTCTCAAGAAGTTTTATTCCGAAGTATATAATGAAAGTAAGAGTTTCAGAAACCAGTCAGAAAAATATAAATATTTGAGACGCTCGACTAAATTGTTTGTGATCATATTCTTTTTCTAGCTATTATGAATTTTAATAAAGGATGTGAATAGACAAAACTTTGCTGTGATTAATTAACAGAAAAATTCACAATTACCAATATATGTCATATATTTGTTTTAGCATTATTTAAATGTAAAAAATCTTCAAATAAAAAGACTGCCATCTCGAATAATTATGTTTCTTGCTTTTGAAACAAGAAGACAGTGCTTATTGTTATACATATGAAATGATATTTTCCTATAATTTCACTGAATTGAAAATTCTATTTTTATTGCTAATAATTAGAAATATTCATTTTCTATTTTTACAATGGAATATTTCACGATAGAAACGGTTCATTCCATTTTATTTTGATTTCACTAAAATACGCAATGTCTTCATTATTTTGAACAAAATATTGAATTTATACATAAACATAGTGAAACAAGAGATTCGTTTGATTGAAATGCTACGGGTAAATCGTATTCATGCAAAAAATAAAGCCAATCATGGATCAAACACAAGTAGAAATGGGTGCAAATATATAATTATGATCAGGATATTTTGCATATATCGGTATTTGAACCTAAGTTCAAATCAATATTGTCAACTTTTTGAAGATTTACGTTGAATAAATAATTGATGATAACTCGAACCATATAACCTGTTGAACCACCAACAAGTTGGATGGGAAGATTATAGAAATCTTTATATGGATCTGTTGAATTTGTTTGTTGTTGAAATAGATTAACAGCTTCCTGTATTAGATAGTCGGCATCAAGTGTTTGACTGAAGCATAATTCAGCATTACGTTTTAATAAAACATTGATTAATTCAAACATCTAAAATATATCGACAATCATAGAAGAAATAAAATACTTCATATGTTATTTACTTCGACAACAAGACATCGATAGGCTGGATCAGATATTTTGCTAAGCATTTCTTCAATTTTCAAAGAAAAATTTAATTCATAATCAGTCATGTCAGATAAAGTGGGTTGCTAAAAAGAAACACAACATATATTGTCGATTTAGTTTTAGTTCATAAGAATTTTACTTGTGGAAGAAAAATACCGCATAGTTTTATTCCACCAGGAGTGCGTTCAAGTATTGACCAAATATGTTCAAAAAAATCAGATGGCACACGACATAATGCTCCATCCATCTGGCGCTTTTGAAACGATGAACTAATTTTAGATAAACAATTAAATTTTTGCTGTTATCTAAAAGAAAATAAATCTGTTTACCGTTGATCAATTTCACCGCCTGGTAATGTCTGCTGTTGTGAATCGGTGGTCAAAACGAAATAAAGTAGCTGTTTGATTTCATTGGGTGATAATGTATTCAACGTCTGTTCAAAATATTACATGAAAGAAAATTTCAGGACATTATGAAAATAAGTCATTTACCACAACGTCATCAACGTCATTTTTCAAATGTTCTAAACTGAGTTTCATTGCTTGAAGAATCCATCTATTCATTAAAATAAGATTATAGAATAGAACAAATTCTATACTTATTTCCAAGCGGGGAATAACTGATTTCAATAGCCGAAATCATCTGAAATCAGTTACTTTCCTTTTCAAAGGGACAGTAAAAAAGTGAGCTATTTATTATCATATCTCCATTTCTACTCTGTATAAATAAATTTATGAATCTCACCATTAAAGTTTCTTTTCTGCTTAAAATATTCAAAATATCTTTTAATCCAAGTATAGTGTTTCTTACCCGAGTCTTAGCTTGAGAATACCATTAAAGAGTTGCTAAAAAAACATTCGAGTTAATTTTGAAAAACAATTTGAATATTTTGAACTAACCGGAAATGTAGACATAAAAACTGAAACGTCAATAAGCAATTCTTGTAAAAGCACAGCATGAAAAATGCTACGATTAAATACGTTTTCACCGTAGATTATCTTAAAAATTTCATTCGGGCGCATCTGCAAAACAACAAAAAAATTGAAAACAATATAGTCAATTATAATTTTAACATACGGGATTATCAATAATTGATTCTTCATAACCAAAAACTCCAAGAGTAACCTTAAATAATATAGAAGAAATAAAATCAAGAACTCATTTTTTTTTCTAATATGGAGACGTACTGTTTTTCCTCGTACGAGTAAAAGTGTTACTGATGGTGCTAAACTATCAACGACTTTATGTAAAAGACTAGACACAAAACGAATAACAGCCCTAGAAACAAAAATGTTTTGTTTATGTTTGATTTCACTTTGTATTTTTATTTGTTTTCTATTACCAATGTTGCCATGTGGCCGCTTCTTTCAAGAGATGTTCGAGATGATTTCTAACACGATAGTTGTCCCTAATCATCCAATCAAGACCACCACGTCGATATAATTCATATGTAGCTAATGCATGTTTTGTCAGTGAACCTAATGCTGTATCTGTATTATTGATAAATTCACGTAATTCGTCGTCACGTTGATTTTTAAATTCCTAAGTAGATAAAAACAGAGATTGACTAGAATTTATCTAAAATTTAAATACTACGAATTGTTTACTAATGATTACTTATGTAAAAAGCATAAGAATGTCGGCTAAAGTAGGTTCTCGTGGCCTAACCAAGTTTCGAGTATCGATAGACTTACAGCTCATTATAATTGATGTGACTGAAATCTTCCGTATTTAGTATAATTTTTAAGAATATTACTATTACATTTAAATTGTCTTTTCCCTTATAAGGCCGAAAAACAAGATATTTTCGTTGACATTCATAAATTGGAAAGTCTAGTTTGTTCTGGATATTTTCCTATCTGATTTAGTCCAATAAAATAAATCAAAATCATCTACATACGTGATTATTATAATCAATATCTTCAACTATAATAGGTATTTTTGATACATCTGTCAATGACTTATAATGACCAACTTCAGATGTACTTTTATGTTCATGAACAACAGCAGGTAGCCAATCTAAAGTTGTGCATATTGAATTATTTAAAAAATCTAGATGTTCTACACAAGCGCTTGATATTGCAGTCTAGGTAAAAAGATAGATTGATTTTTTCCTCATTATTAACATTTAATAAATTACCTGTAGACGTTCAAGTCGTACAAAAATGCTTGTTGAAATTTTTCCATTACGAATCTGTGTTAATAATTCAAGAAGATCTGCTTTTTGAGGCCCACTGCAACATATGTTTATAAGAAAAATAAGCAGAAGAAATCAATTGTTCATACCGAAGATGACGTTCACGTAACATTATCAAATATATTGGTCGACCTTTGAGACGCCAGCATTTCGTGATAAATTCAAAATCACTCTGAATAAATAAAGATATATAATTTCTAGTGAAGGTTTAGCGAGAGAAAAAGTATTTTCTTTCAACTGTACACCAACAATGGTACCTTAATGAGTCTTATCATTAAAAATAGCAACATAAAAAAAACTCAACAGCCGATGATGTTATCTCTTTGAATTTTTCTTTTGTAAAATAAAATTATTTACTCGAATATTATCCAACAGTAATGCCATATCACTTGAAACATAAAAATCATTCGTTTCAAATGTCAACGGATAGCATAAAACCGTTTTTGAACAAATTCGATAAACCTAAAAAAAAGAGTTTTTTTTCAAATCAAATTTTCAAGTTCATTTTATTACTTTGCATGTACCGAGTACGCCAATAGGTCGGTCCGGTCGTCCACTAAAACCAAATTTTTTATTTGCACCTAAATTTGCATATGCCTAAAACATAGAATAAAATAATTCTGTAAATAGAACTAAAAATATGAAGAACATACTTTGACTAATTCTGCTGGTGGCCAAATTAAAAGTGGTTCAACCTGTTTTGGTGTTTGTGTTTGAATACCATAGGTTGCTAATACTTGTTGTAAACGAACTGATTCTGATATTGCAACGACTTGAATAACCAAATCGGAGAAAGTAACCTAATAAACATAAAGCATTTCTTTTTCAATATATCTATGTAGAAAAAAATCCTGATGCTTGCGTTCGATGGGATGATAACACGTGTCTTTTTTTTTACATCAACTGAATCAAATGGAGGACTTGCTACTAGTTTTGGCATATTGGGTGTATATTGATAGCGTAATGAATCCTTGTTAGAAAATATGATATTAAAAAAAGGGCAAATGATAAAAATTAATGTTTACTTGTATGGATGAATATCTTGAATTTGGTTTTGGTCGCTCACTAGGTGATAAATAACGACGAATAGGGTCAAGATCAGTTATAGTCAAAACTTTGTCAACTACAGAAAGCAATAAAATATTATTAAATAAAGTCATTTTTGTATACGTATACATTGTAATAGAATTCAAATTTTTGATAAGAATTTTATTTAGGTTGTATGAGAATGCTTCAACATTTATCATAAACTATACCGTAGACTAGCAAAGTGAATATCATAGTCTATTCTAATCTATTGAACAGTAGTGATCTCAATTCAAAATCTTTGTTTCGATTACTTTATTTTTAAAATATCAATCTCATATTGATCATAGTATGCATTTAAATTTCTTAAATCTTACCAAGTAATTGACAAATAATCCAAACAGATTGACCAAAAAGAAAAAAATTTCCATGAAGAATTTCCGAACTGTCTGCCATTGATACAGGTGGATTACTGCCACGATCGCTGCCCTCACTTTGGGTACTACTTTGTTGTTTTGAATGATCAACATAATAGTAATGTGCCATCATTTCACCTATATACAAACAATCATTTCGTATTTATTTATAATTAATCGTCAAAATTTTATCAGACTGCTATGAATAGGGTGCACTGCATGCACACAATTACGTGATATTAACGAAGGATTGGAATCTCATATAATATATATGTATGAATTGCTAATTAAAATACGTGAAGCATACGACGAATAAATGCTACCTTTAGTTAAAAGTGATGCAAAAGAATGAGAGGATGATAGACTTTTTGTGCTAACTAATGTAAAAAAAACATGAGGTATCTTCATGCAATATTAAATAACTAAGAAGATATATGACCATACTAATGTCTTGTGATGAACATGAATGTTGTTGTTCTTTAGTAATGGGACGTGATTTTGGTGAATTGGTCTCAGAATTAATAGCAGTAAATAAGCTCGTAGTATCGAGTGCTATATTTCGTGAGTATTTCGAAAAACAATTTTCTGTGATAAAATTAGATTTTTGTTTTGCACTTACCTTCAGTTGTTCGTCGCAATAGAGGATTCAATGCAGTTAAATATTCATCGACTTGTACTTGATTATTTTTAAAAATACCTAACAAAAGAAAGACATAAGATTAAAATGAAAATAGGTATTTCGGACACAATAGTAAGCAACTTTTGTTTACCATCAATAGCCATTAAGGCAAAAAACATTGGCCATTGGCATTCATTCTTATCAAATTTCTGTTAATTAGAAAACAATAACAATATAAACATGAGCTATTTTCTAGAACAAATTCAACCTTCATTTCTGTTGTTTCATAAAATCGGTGATCTTTTGATTCTAAATCTGTATATTGTCCATCACGTAAAAATCTTTTAAAACCATGTGTTCCACGTAATTTTCTGATACATTTACGAGTTGTAGTTTGTACAAGTGTTGAATCGTGAATAGCGAACGTTGGCCAACTAATTGTTAACAATAAAGCAGCATCAGTATTCTAAATATAAATGAAATACCAATATCTTTCTCACTTCTTAATTTAACAGTTACTTTGGATGCTGATTCTCGAGGTAGAAGTGTATCGAGTGTTGTCCGATTTCGATTATGTGCATCCTAAAATTGTCAATAATAATCCCATTCAACAATCAATCAATCGATTTCATACCACATCAACATAGACAACCGACCAATTTGCTCCTTGATCACCATAGAGATTGAAACCATTCATTGCTTCAAGTGCAGCTTTTGCCATACCAATAGAACTAAATAGCAAATATAAAATGTAAATATATATTTTATTAAATTTCTCTTTTTCTTACCTTGCATGAAGTTCACACGTATTTGTATTATATTTACTTCCTCTTGCCCATATTCCATAATCTGGTGTACGATAAGCACGTTCAATTGAAAAGACAAGTTGTTGAACAAAAGTGACTTCATCCATAGAAAAAATAATCTAAAATGTTTAAAAAATAATTTTTTTTTAAATACAAATATTTTCATTCGTCCTTCGCGATTTTTTACTTGAAGATTAGATGTAATCATTTGTACAAGTGTTAACAAATAAATCGATATAGCACATATTTGTAACTGACCAACTTCATCAGCGCCTTCAACTTCGCTACCATCAAATACATTAAATCGTGAATGTAATGCATCTTTTGTTGACTGCTCATTTTTAAATACTTCAATCTACAAAAAATACTTTTGTTTTTACGGAAAACTCATAGCAATAGATTATTTCTATGTTTACTTTTTTTGCTTGTTTCATCCAACAATTAAGAATACCACGCATACATTTAACAGCTGCTTGTCCCAATTCATGTGCTCGTCCTTGATCATTATCAATCTTACAATAGCATTGTCGCAATGACCATACAGCAATAGCACAAAAAACATTTTCAACAACATGACCAACTTTCTTATCTGGTTCAAGATGATTAGGGAAAAGGCCAGTTGTTAAACTTTGAAAAGCAAGAATTTGACGTTTAACTTTACGATAATAACTATCTAGTTTTTTTAATATTTGCGAATGCGAATCTGAATAATTCTCTTCTTCGTCACCAGCATCCCAAACTTTCTGCAAAAATAAAATATACATTTATAATAATTAATGAGGAAAATAATAAAGTAATGTCTCTAGTACTTTAGCATCAGACCATGATGGTCGACGACTACGACTTGAAACACTGATACTATTTGACCGCGCATATAGATTACCAATGGCTGTACTAGTCATTGATGTTTGTCTTTGAGACCGTAGCCAATTTTCACTCATTGTGCATTATATCATATCTAGAAAAGATTACCGAAGACAACTATAATTTATTATTTAGTCGTTTATTTTATTTTGAACATTTCATCGTTTTATTGTTACTAATTCAATTTTCAGTACCAAGGAAATTACAAAAGTATGCTAGAAATTGGCATACATTTAAAAAAAATATATGGCCTAAAATTCAAGAAAAACTGTTGTTAAGCTAGTTGTTCAGTTGGTTCTGGTGTTGGAACAGTACTCATTCGATGAATAACCCATTCCATGGCCAGCCGACCCTACAAAAAAAAAGAAACACAAATAAGAATTAACAAAAAAATGGTTCATATCAATCTTATACTTTAGTGGCATTCGCATTAATTGTTTTAGCGACTAGTGTTTCAACATAACTAGTCAATGGAACTCGTTCAACATTTATAGTTGCTTCTTGTTTCAATAATGTTTTTGAACTATCAGTTGGATGTTGTGTGTATTCCAGTCGTTCTTCAATATTAATAAAACGATTCAATGTTAAATTTCTTGTTCTAGCACTCATAACACGTCGTCGAACGTCAATTGTTGAATGTTCACTAGCATATCCAAGTTCATTAAATTTAAAGATTCTGTTTAATGCTGGCGCAATAGCCCAATCAGCCAATAAAAGGCGGTGTGATTGAATAACACCGGATGGACTTATCGTCCGACCAATAACATCACAACCGATTACACTTGGACTCACCGGATTCGGATATTTATTCAATGCAGCAGTGACGACTGTTGTCCAATCATGGCTATTATAAATCAAACACGGCTAGGAATAAATTACTCGATAGACATTGAACAAAATACTTACTCAAATACGTGTTCTGAGGTCCAAAATTTCATTGTTTTTTTTTCTTTTTCTCAAAAACACAGGCCAATGATGTTATCTTAAAAGAGAAAGAAAATGCTTTTCTAAATAAAAAATTTGAACTTGTTTTTCTCTTTTATTTAGCATTATTCTAAATGCTTTTACAATTCATTCAAACAAAAGACAAGATAAAAAAAAAGATGAGACAAACAGTTCTATTAATCTGAATCAGAATCAAGTGCAGCACGTCGTCGATCAAACTAAAATTTAAAAAGAAAAACGTTTCATTTGATAATAACATGAACTAAAATAAATATGCTCGAATTCTCAAAGATTCTTTTGCATTCTACAAATCCCTACCCAATCGTATGACTCTATAATAATAGTTTATTCGTTTTTATTCACTATCAATATTTTTTTCTATTTTAAAGTTGAGATGCAAGTCTTACATTAACTTTTGTTGTTTTTTCTGTAGCTTTGCTAACTTGTTCTAAAAGACTAATTAATTGTTCTTCAGTAACCTAAAGTAAATTATGTATGTATCCATTGATCAATTTAATACTTCGATTACTTTTCCACCAAATGCACCGCGTCTAGCATTTTGTATAAGAATATCTTCAACCATGCGTCCTTTTTCTGGTTTAGTTAATGATATTGTATTTAAACGTGCACGTGCTTCTTGTGTTAATAATGAACTTAACATAGTATTACGCATATCTTCTTGTTTTTGTCGTTGTTCTTCTCCTGAATTTCTCTCGTTTTGATCAGATCCCATAGGTCGTTGTTGGCCTTGTTGTTGTTGTTGTAATTCGGCTAAACGCTTAGCACGAAGTGCATCAAGATCCGAATCACTCATGATTTATCACGAAAAAAAAATATCTGAAATCTAGTTTCTTATGTTTAATATTTATGAAGAAACAAAAAACAATATTTATACAAGATAAAGAAAAGACAAGTTCATGTTTTATTATTTTATTGTTGTTCTAAGAAACTAGTTCGTTCTTCGTACAACTCTTGATAACGTCGTTGAAGTTCACGTTCACGTTCTTCTTGTCGTGCAACATCTTCAGTAAAAGACTGCAAGACAGCAAATTAAAAAGTTGAAAATAAATTAAAGTCATTGTCTTACATCAATACGTTTTGGAATAGCTAATATTTCGTTTTGACGAAGTAATTCGAAGGTTTTAGCTTCGACTTGAGTTTGATCGATTTGATCGTATACATCAGTTAATGCTTTAATGAGTACTTGACCACGAGACTAAAACAAATTAGAAATTTTACATAGTATAATCAGTTTATTCTCTTTCTTCTCATATCTAAATAAAGCATTTGTCTATGTTTTTTTCTCGCAGTCAAAATTCATTCTGAATTATTGTGAAATTCTTCATGTAGTTACTTGGAAATATATATATCACTATTTTTATCTACATGTGAACGATAAGTTTATCTATTCAATCTAACAATTTCCTATCTATACTGAAGAAGAAATGAAATAGTTCTCGGCATTTTCTCATAGTATAAGAAATCTAATTTTGAATGATCGCAAAAATAAACCAATCACTAACTTGATAACCGCCAAGCAATGTTTTAAGTTTTTTCTCAAGTTTTGCTGCACGTTTTGCCTCGAGGGCCATTAAATTACGACTAAGCTAGAAGAAGAACAATTTTTAAATGTTTTATTCATTAAAATCAATGACATACTTCAAGTTTTTGTTCAGCTGATTCAATTCGATCTTTTTTACTAGCTGCATTTGCTCGCGTAAAACGATTTTTCGATGGTAAAAATAAGACTTGAGAATAACATTCATCCCATACTTTTGAATAAACATCAAGATTTAAATCGCCATGACCCATAGTTTTTTTAACAACATTCATTTCTGATTCGAGTAATGCACGAGCCTTAAACAAAAGAAAATTTCATTGATATCTCTAAAACAACCATGCAATAGTATAATTACTGAAGCAAGATCTTCATCTGTAAATTCTTCATAGGGATGTGTATCAAGATAAACAGAAAAATCTTTATTACGATTAGAGATACTAGTTGTTTGAGAATTATTTAATGCGTCATAATGAAGAAGAACGAGCATTTCTTGTTTTATTAATTCTTCAGCCTAAGAAAATGATTAGATGAATATTTCTCAAATAAAAAAGAATTATATGTACTTTTTGTAAATCAGTCATTGGACCTTCTGCATTTGCTGGGCGAAGAATAGTTAAATTAATATCATTTGGACGAGGTAGATTTCGTTGAACAGCTTGTGTCTGCCGTTTAAAATGTTCTTGTTCTAAAAAATCAAAATGAAAAAATGCTTCTAAAAACAAATAAATTATTATCATACGTTTACGACGTTTTGCATCGAGTTTACGTTGATCAATATCAGCTTGATCTTCATCTTGTGTATTATTAGTATCCATTCGATCTTCATCATTTATCTGATCATTTGAATCAGGCACTACAATTTCATAATCATTTTTTGGTCTTGGTAAACGTGAAAGATTATGTCGTAGTTGTTGCTTTACTTCACGCTAGAAGAAAGAAAACAAAATCAATAGTAAAAATACTTTGGAAATATATTGTAGGATTTCATGAAAATCCTGACTGAAAATTTTTTTTACATTTACATTTAGTATTGCTCCTATTCTTATAACAGAATACACTACTCAACTCAACTATTGTTCACATGATGATATTATTATTTTGTTGGAACTATAAGATTTTAAGGTCTGGATTTAAATTGAAAATCAGATCTTTTTCCAAATTCAATTGTTAAAAATATTTTGCAGGACATCAGAGAATTTTGTTACAAAAAGCTTAATCAGTTTTCCGAAGAAAAGGTCACGGCCTTTTACTATCGGTAAAAAGTTTGCTAGCCTATAGAATTTTCTTAATTAATAAACAAGATGTTGAAAGTTCTGCATTACAGAATTTGTTATTACTACTATCGATAATCAATCATTATTAAGCTTGACGCGTAGAGTGCGTCATACTGTAAATCATATTGAGTATGATTGAAATAGAAGTTTGAGAGAGAGAGAGAGCGCGAGCGAGAGCATTACATGATGTGTAGTTCTTGAGATTATCCAATCACAGAAGATAGACTTTAGATGAAGAGATCAAGAAACAAAGAATTTTGATTGATACCTATAGAATGCTCCGTACGTTAGTAATTAGAGTTAGAAGTAATAAGTAATCATCAAATCAAATGAAAGAACGCAATCGCTTTCTTATCTCTATTGAGTACATCGTTTGTCTGCTATTGATTGTTTTCTATATACTAAACAATAATGATGATGATAAAGGAAAAACATGATTTCCTTCTTATGGAGAGCTGGTGGATAATCTCATATTGTTAGTCAATTTGATTTTTGAGAAAAATATCAAATGATATGATCTTACAATCAATCGAAAGGCAGGGAATCTGGAATTTCTCAGCTATTTTCATAATAATAGAAATCAAAGAAATATCATTAGATTTTAATTTCTGATCCTTTTTAAAAATATATATGTCGATGCTAGTATTCTATAATAAATTGCTTATATTTCCATATAAGAAATGAATAAAAACGACGCACTAGATTGTTTACTATCCTGTTTTGTGATTTTCGAATTCATGCATTTACATGTTAATATTACTAACCTGTTTTAATTGATCATCAAATAACATTTCATCCGTATTAATACTCAATTGATCACGTACAGATACCGAACCTGGATTAATATCTGTTGATGGTCCACGTACTGATGGTGTCAATCCATCACCTGATGCATTTGTCGGTGTTCGAAAAGGTGTATTGAATAAAGTATTTGGTGTTGCCATAATCAAGCCAGCTGCTGATCTTGATTTTTCATTACTTACATCCATTAATGGTGTATTTGATCCACCTAATAATGGTGTTTGAACAGTTGATAATATGTTAAGATTATGCGCTTGATTGAGTACACTATCTTGCATAACAGGTAATTGTGGTGTACGAATTCTATTTAAATCCGGAGTTAAGTTATAATCTCCAAGTAAAGTTTCCGTAGCAATAGTACCATTTTCTGAGACTTGCTGTTTAGCTATTTCTGTTGCTTGTCCTAATTTAACAACTTGTTCCAATTCCATATCACTTATTTGTGGTGCTGGTAAAACTAATTTTGAACGTTTTTTAATAGGTTCAAGACGATTTTCGTTCATAATAACAGCTGGTAAATCATCTTCTTTTTTGCGTTTCAATTTATTATTATCTTTCTTTCGTTCACTTTTTTCATTCTCTTCTTTGGCAGCTAAATTTCTATTATCAACATGTAAACGTTTAAAATCGATTTTATCGGCATCAAAAATCTCATTTGCTGTATCATAAAAACCAATAGCAGGTAATTTTGCAAATGGAATCTCTGCATTATAATCAACGCCGCGTTTTCTATTAAAATAACGACGAACTTCAATACCAGCTGCACGTAATTCACGACGTTTTTGTAATGATGCTAAACGTCGTGCTTCTTCAAGTTGCTTCTCACGTGCTTTGCGTTTTGCTTTTTTACCCTGAGTATTTGCAAGACGAGCACGAGCTAAAACAAATTGTAGAAAAAAAGAAAAGAATTTTTTAAAACTTTCTCTTTAAAATAGAACTTTTACCTTCGGAAAGCATTTCAAGTTCATCTTCATCCATATCAATTGGATCTGGTCTTGCTGGTTTATTTTCTGGATTTGGATCAATTTCACCAGGACGTAATGCACGTGGGTCATCAATTGTTTCATCAAGACCTTCACGACGACGTTGAGCTTGATCACTAGATTAAAAATATAGTTGTTTACAAACCAAAAATCATCTTTGTAGACTTACAGTAAATATTCATAACGTTCAAGGCATTGAGCAGCTGTACGTTGAACAATTGGAGCTATTGTTCTCCATTGTGTTGGCATCAGTTTTGCCATGTGTAATAACTTTTCATCTTCATCACGTGACCATTCAGTTTTTTTAATCGAAGGATCCAACCATTCGAACCTATGAGTAAAGAAATCATCTTTCAGGAATTTTCTCTTATCTTAATCTACTTACCAACGTGCTTTACATTGTTTAGATGATTTTCGATGAAGCAAAGAAGCAATACGTGACCATTGATTTTTGCCATATTTCATCACAGCTGCTTTGAGGATTTCATCCTAATAGATAAAAATAGTACAATAGTTTGAACAAAATCATTTCTTTCAAATAATAATAATTTACTTCTGTATTACGCCAAACACCACCTTTAATTGTTACACGTACCATGACTGCAAACTTATTTTAAACAATCTAAAAATCAAAAATCTAGATGTTTTGTAATCAAAAAAGTACTGACCTATGTAGTACAGAAAAACAAAATAAACTGATGATGAATGGATACGTATTCTCGTATTGGATGAAAATCTTCATCGGAATATTTATTGCCCAGCGACGTAGTTTATAGGGGACGCTAGATAACAGTCGTTTAGAAAATATGAACTACATATAAAGTGGTAGATCCGAATTCCATCACTACTTTTGAAAAGTTCCCATAAAACCTCTATATCTCCGTTTCCTGAAGTCCGTTTGAGCTGATTTCTGGTTGCGGAATAGACAAAACATTTTTCTATCGAATTGCATGATTATCTTCAAGATTCGATTTGTTTTGAGTGAGCAGCAACAAAGAAACAAACACTTACTTTCATTTTTGTCCCGTTCTGTCCATGTTTTAATTCCATCATTGAAACCATTATCTTTCCCAATCACATCATTTGCAGCAAAAATATACAAGTTTTGTTAAAAAACTTAATTTTCGAGCGGAAGGTTGGCATCTTTCCGAGGACAAGTTACATCATTTGATTCACCAGATCAAGCTCTATCAATTGATATGTTTCTTATTACGAATAAATGCATATTTTATATATTTTTTCTCGTAACAATCAACTTTTTCGTGTGATGCAATTAAGTAGTGTAACTTAATCCCATCACACCAACTATTCCTCTTTCCTTATTTCATCATGTAATCAAAAGTACATGTAAAATTGTTCATCATCAGTAATCAAAACATTGGCGCTAGATCAACTACATAATTTTACTAAACAATCTATACAAAGAAATGTAGCTGAACTCAGTGGCTATCTGTTAATAAAAATTCAGACGATTTAGACCTAAAATTTATTGAACTTTTTAAGATAGAACACCATGCGTTAATTTTACTAGAATTTTGGCATGCAGCATTTTTCTATCTTTGAGCAGTAATCACAATGATTAATTAACACGAGGCGTGTAAAGTAATATTAAGTGTTCTATCTTATTATAACTGTCTAATTTTTTACGTATGAGTTGATTGCTAGATCCAATAATAATTAATGTACATGTACATGTAAATCAGAGATGGACGGGGCAGCTAAAAAGTCGCCTCGCCACCGCACCACCACCGTCTATTTTTTAACACTGACCCCGCCACCACCCCGTCACCGCCAGGGTTCACACCGCCCCGTCTCGCCCCGCCCGCTTGTCAAATACATTTTAGGAAGCAAGTATTGATAGTCACCTTTCATAATTTTTATTTTATTGCATGCCATCAAAAGGCATAACCCAAATTTACATCGTTTCACAATAGAAAAATATAATAAAAATAGAAAGGTACAATAATAATATAAAAACAAAAACAAACGCTCAGTTTTTATTCACCGATCTCAAAAACAAAGCGTTATTCACTTGTTCAGAATTCAGTCGAGTACGTCTTAAGTTAATCATTATACCACTGCCGCTAAATTGCCGCTCCACATTGGCTGTAGTTGCTGGAATAGAAAATATCGAACGTGCGAGCTTTGATAGAGTAGGGTTGTGCCGATATTGATGGCACGCTTCGATGGTTCTCCTTCCTTCTCTTTCTGTTCTCTTTCCATTGTTCTAATGTATCTCTCTCCTGTCTCTCTTCTATCTCTCTCCTATATATACGTGCGTTATGTATGAAGTTGTGACACTCTGGAGATGTCAGATGACACAATACACCATCATGCCGACTGGCATAGGCGCC